ATTCGACTCCGGTATATCTAAAATAGGTAGGTACATTTTCCTTGAAATTTTATTTTGAAGGAGGTTTTTTGCGAACGGGATACACTGCGTGAGAGTAAGCCATAAACAAACAGTTGGAGTAACAATGTCACACAACGACGTCTCGAGCAGCTCCGCCTTCTTTTACTGATTTTTTTCTCCTTATGAAATTTTAGGGAAACTTTGTTTTGAACAGACAATGCGTTGTTCGCAACATCATTTGTTTCTCAGTAGTTTATTTTATTTTCAGAAAGAAGGGATACTAACTTTGCATGAGAGAAGCCGGGGTCCGGGCCTGTCAGTCACGCACTAAAAGATAGCATTTTCTTGTCAGAGATGTTGAAATTTGATTTTTTTACTACGTATTACAAACAACAAACCGTCCCTTGGTTAATTTCTCTACTTTTTCACAAATAGAGGTATAATTAGGCAGCTACCAAAGGCCCTAGGAAACAGCTAAGTAATCGTAGTTCATACGGTCCAGCGGTTTCTCTCCTCCGAAACGAATCCGAAACACCTTTCCCGCAAAAACTGCCCCTTTTAGGTCATCTCGGAGTTGTACCACCTGCCAAGGGGCGTTTTCCTTCAAATACAAAATGATATTTGTTGATTTCAAAAAATAATCTAGCAGCGCCTTGGTGTGTAAATCTATACGCCAAACCCATGAACAAAACAAGTTCCAACCGACGCCGCCGAAGAACTGGAAAAGGAGACCAGCGGTACAGTCGAACCTCCCGAAAGCGACCACCCAAAATGCGCAGACTTAGTGGTCGCTAACGGGGGGTGGTCTCTTACGAGAATCGGACCACAGGAGGTTTCTTTGAGAAGAAAAGTGGACACATCTACTTTAAGGAAGATAATTTATTGCATGCAATTTCCAAGTTACGATATGCGCAGTTTCATGTTGTTGTTGTTCCTACCACAAGAGATCAGAAAACTCGTCAGGTGGTCGCTTACAAGAAGTTAAAAACAATGCAAAATCATTGATCAGTCAGCCCCAATTAGTGGTCGCAGGCGCTTACAGGAGAGATTCCAACTGTAAGACTTAACTGGGTGGGTTTTGGTGTTTTGGATAGGTGGTCGCACATGGACCACCTTTCACGACGATGCGACTAGGATTTGTCCATGGAAGATAAGACTCCTTGTTCACCGCTTTTGAGCTACTCTAACCAACTCCCACCCATGTCGAGTGCTTGCAAAATGTAGCATCATCTTGAAAAAAGAAGTATCAGAAAGGTCATCCATGACGCCCCTGGCCTATCGCAGTATCCGGGAACGAACTTATATCGACGTAAGCACCATTTACTAACCAGGCAGTAATTAAGGCGACGCAGAGTAAAAGCGTAACTTGAGTACGTTTTTCAGTTTACAGCAGACCCAAGTTTTGTTTAAAGAAATACCTGCCTTTTGCTCAGGAGTATTAACATCAGTACCCGCAATGTCCCAGCTCGTGCCTTCATACCGGAACGTCCGATCGAATCACTGTTTAGTTGATAGCTACCCTTCTCTTCCTCTTCCCGACGTATCTAGGAAGATCGAAGGGCCTCTGCTCGCAGGGTAGTTGATAGCGACCAAGGAGCTAAATAACATAGCGAGGTAAGTAAGTGGCATCGGCGGTTTTTTTACGCCTAACCGTTTCCCAAAGTAAAGAAGGAAAGAACTTCAGACAAAGGGAAAGAAGAGTTATGCGATAAAACTGCTCTTAAATTGATGTTTAGCTATGGCATATGCGAGGGGTGGGGCTTTTTAATTGCTGGATAACATGTGCCGTTACCAAAAAAATTACGGAAAAACATTTTTTCCTTGGTTTGAAATTTTGACCACGAAAATTTTAGCTCCAGCCATTTGTTATACCAGGCAAAAAAATCCAATATTTAGATATTTCCCTCTTAGCAGCAGGCCCTTTAATTAAAGTGTCCTTAAGTTTGGACGGTATCTAATATTATATATCCGCAGGAACGAAACATGACAACAGCTGGTTACAGATTGTCAATGTGTGAGGCTGAGGTTCTGGGTTCCCTGTGACAGTTCTTGTCGAGAAGACCCCAAATCAGTATATTTGCTGTTTTAGGTTGATTCTGTGCTATAACTTACTGCCTTTAGCCAGTCAAAAAATGTTCAGTGTAGAGTTACATGTGGGGTATGAAGAAGATATTTTATCAGGGAGCACTAGCCAAAAATATCTTTTTGGGTGATGCATTTAAACTTGAAAAAGATGGCCCAATTTTTCCAGTTTTCAGTCCATGTCCATCCTGGCACTCAGTAGTAACAGAACGCGACAGGAAACAGTTTCAGTTTCAGGCAAGCACGAAGTGAGTGAGAAGCGCCAGACAAGCGCGACGGGGAAGACGCAGAAAAAACAACGGCCTGTCCACATACCATCGTTTTTTTGCATATACTCCTTAATGGCTCTCCTCACTCCCTTCGCGCTTGCATTCGCTCCGGCTTCAGGCTTAATTGCCATCACTCGCCTGAAAAACGCACGCCCGCTATGCAGGCTAGCCAGTTAGCTTGATATGAGAATGGCTGAAAAAGAGATTTGCAACACAAGACAGCTCAATTAGACGTACAGAAGCCAAAATTTGGACATATCTTACAAACCTATATCGATCTTTCTCTCCCGCTCTCTTTTTTCCCTATGCCTTTCTTCTTCTGTTGCTCCGGCACTTGATCGTATTCCCACTGTCTTTGTTTTGCCAGGAATTTTGGCCGCTAATTTTTTCAGGAAAGGGACATTTAATTAATCTGTAGAGAATAGAAGGTGAATAGAAAAATTGGAAGTAGATTTTTTTACCCCAAATGTTGCTTTTTTGTGTGTGTAACTCTCTCAAGATACATGAAGATAGGTGAAAATTTGCTAAAAGAGGTACCAGTGGAAAAATCTATCCTTGTTGATTTTGATAAGTTTATCACCTTGGCGAATAAATGGAAAGCTAAATGGGTTCATGAAGGATATTCATGGTTCCCAAAAAAAAAAAAAAAACCCATAAGGCCCCAGTGTCGGCAGTACTCGTCCATCTGATTTACTTTTTTCTATTGAGAGGACAATTGCAAGGATCCGTGAGGGTCCATTCAATGAAGGTTTCAACTAATCAATGGCACAATTACGGGTCAGTCCACTTGGCGATCTTTGACCATCTTTGGCTGTTCGAAATCGTGTCTGGGCTTAATTAATAGTGCTGAACGCACGAACAGTGAAGAGGCAGAAAGAGGAGGTGGAAGAGTTTCAGAAAAGAGAGAAAAGGGGACGATGATTACTTTAATCTTGTCTTTACTTACGTTATTTTTAATATGCGAGACGTGGCAATTTTACCAAAATATAACTTTGAAAAAAACTACCAAGAAAATTAACTATTTTGGATTTTTATTGATTGAAAACTTATAGAGTCTGATGTAAGTTATTAATGGCAAATCGGCTAAAATGCATTGACGAATAATCTACATCGGTACCATAAAAGCATGTGCCCACTCCAAGAAAGATGTATGACCGCGAAATTCATTCAGGTGAATAAAGTAAAGTTAAGTCATCTGACATGAATAATATTTCTTTACACACTTCAAAACCTCTCATTTTTTTGATCGAGTTTGACAACTGTCACGCAATTGCAGAATACAGCACTACAACACCCAACAACAATTGCTGAGCAACCTTAATTTTATAATGTACAATTAAGAAGAGCTAACATACAAATTACAAAACATTTAACATTAGCTATTCTCCTGGTTTTGCTATTTCAAACCTCAAATGTTGCGTGATGCTAACAGTATTGAAACCCGTCCTTGTGTACGATAGGAATATGCAGATGCATTTATATGCAAATTTCCCACATTGTGTCACCAACCTTCACAGCAATTTCTTATCAGGGATATCAATTTTTCAGATCCTTTACTTAATTTTAGCTTCATTAAAAGGGCTTTCATCCTTTCTCCTACGTTTCGAATATACCACGTACCGAAACTACAAAGAAAAATCGGGCGCATCATTTCTCTACAAATTTGATTTATGCAAATTTGTGACATGTTGCCACTGGTGGTCACGAAACTTTTTATTTTGTAAAGGCGAATCCGGAGTACCCAGATTTTTTATTTCATATTCTGTTAATGTAAGAGCTGAACTTTGTCCTAGAATACATTTTGACTAGGTATCACACATACCAAGGTGGGTTTTTCGCCTCTGAAGTTGCTCATTTTTAGCCATTTTAAAAAGTGCGCTTGGTGGTAGTTTTTAAAAACCGAAAAAAAATTCAAAATCATGTTTATGGCTTAAAACATACCAAAGATAGAAAGAAAAGATAGAATTCTTTTAAACAAAAAATATTTCTGTTTTATAGCTTTGAATCTTGCCTCGGTACAGACGCGATAAAGTAGGTCATTTTTACTCTAATTTTTGCATAATTAATTAGGTAAAAACCGCTATTTTCGTTTTTCCTCATTTTCTCGAAAACTATAGATTCTTGAAAGTTGAAAATATTTTTTTCGAAGATAGTTTCCGAAAGGGGTTTTTCTGACAAATTATCAGAATTTTCGATTTTTTTAGCCTGGCCAGCGATTCTCGATATTTACGGTCATGGGCTCTTAAGTATTGGGACAAAAACAAAGAAAAAAAAGTAAGCTATCAAAAAGATTCAAGTAAAAAAAAGCCTGGAAAGCAAAGATTATTGACCATTATGGAGGAATTTATCTTAACTTTGGTGAGACTCAGACCTGGGCTTTTAAGCAGACATCTTACAGATATCTTTGGAGTATCAGAAGGATCAGTTAGCAAAGTTTTCACAACGTGGATTTGCTTTTTATCTACAGTTTTTCGTGACATTCTTCTTAAATGGCCTTGTAAGGAAGAAATTAAGAAAAAGTTGCCAAGTTCTTTTAATAAATTTCCAAGCACTCGAATAATAATAGATTGCACAGAGATATTTTTGCAAAAGCCAACATCCCCTAGTGCCCAGAGAGCTACATGGAGTAACTATAAACAGCACAATACCATGAAAGCACTGGTGGGAATCACTCCAACAGGTTACTTCTCCTTTGTTTCTAAACTATGGACTGGAAATGTCAGTGACAGATACATCACAGAAAGAAGTGGTCTACTGGACAAACTTGAAGAGGGGGATTCTGTTATGGCCGACAAGGGGTTCAACATCAGAGATCTGCTTACAAGAAAGAAAGTTGCACTTAATATCCCACCACTTTGCAAAGGTACCTTTCCAATAAAGGGAGCTAATGGGGTAGGGGTGGAAGAGGGTATGCTAAGATAAAAGAGAAGGTCTCCCGGGACAAAGTAAAAAAAAAAAAACAAAAAAAACCCCCAGATATAACAGCATCCATTACTTGTTGCTTGTAAAAAGGATCTTTCTAACTAAAAAGAAGAAGTTTCTTAGGAATATTTTTTATATTATAGGGTTAAGTTGAACTGCTCAAAGATAAAGGTAGTCTCTACTAACTTCCAAACATGTCTACGTAGCAGGGGTGGATCCAGAAAATTCAGAAAGAGCTGGTGTGAGGCAGTGGTTTGCCACTTCCACCCATCCAATAATTTAGTACAGGTTTTGTTTGGAAAAAAGGTTTCCAAAAAGCAAGTACTTTACTATCAGTACCTTTTGAATTGGCATTTACTTCATTCAAAATCCTTTTTCTCCTCTTACACAGGAAAGCAACTTTCAAAAAGGCAGTAAAATCTACCCGCACCATTGCAAGTGTTCAGATCCACGTTGAACGTGCTATTGGACGCCTTAAGGACTTTAGAATTCTACAAGGAACTTCCTTCTTCAAATGCTACCCACTGCAGACAATATTCTAAGTGTTTGTGCTGCTCTGTGTAATTTGTTACCACCACTGGCCAAATGACTGACGATTTGTCCAGAGAGCAGAAAAAGCAGACCTACTTAGTGTATGTAAATGGTAAATGAAACATGTATTAAACGTATCCAGAGACAGATCAATAAAATTATGTGGTATCTAATCCAGCACAGACAAAAAACACTATTAATTTTAAGCACCTTCACTTTTACAATCAGCATCTAACGGCAGTCACTCTATAATGACTTAAGTATGTCATGGTGGAATAGTTCCTGAACTATATACTCCACGAAGAAGTTTCTCAGCTTTTGGAGCATTTCACTCCACAAATCACTATCAAACTTAACGTTTACAATCAATATTCCTTTGAGGGTATATATAACTAGATCACAGCGATGAATCCCTGTTATCCCCATCAGTCCCTGGATTTGGTAGTTCCATTTGGTTTCTTTTTTAATTTCATACTTGCCATCCACAAGCATGAGGTTCTCCTCAGCTGCAACATGTGGAGGGAGATTTCTTTTTGCATACATGCTTTTAACTTCAATTAACTTCTTTTGGCAGCAAGCACAAATCCTTATACCATCAGGACTGGCTCCTAAGAAGGGCCATAATGTGTTTACAATGAGTCCACTTTTTTCTATTGACAACTTTTCATGATTTTTGTTCTGTTTTTTTATGTAAAGACTAAGTGCTCGCTTTTCTTTTTCATGCCCCCATGTCACCTGTCATGGCATGGCATCTTCAGCAATTGGACAGTAATTCATGAGATGTTTAATAGTGTTTCTTCTGTCTGTGCTCTCTCTAAGGTGGCACACAGTGTAAAATGAGGAAGCTGTAATTCTTCCTGCCCTTTGATCAAACCAAAATTGAGACTGGGATTGATAGACAGTTTTCTTGTTGATCATTTCTGCTTGCTCTTCATTAAATGGAATAGACTCGAGGAATTCAACTGCAAGTTCTTTAGAAACTGTAGGCATCACTTTCTCAGTATTAACAGAAACAAACACTTTGGCGTAATCATTCATTGAATATACATGTACACTTTGAACACTTTCTTCTTTACAGACATTAACATCACTGCTGATGAAAGCTCTGACTTCTTCCTCTGTTTGCCTGGGTCCTTTAGTTGAAGATAAAAAGGCAGAGCTGAAGAGCTAGGACATGTTTCCAGCAACCCAGCTTTAAAATCTTGTTCCAGTTCAGTCACATTATAGGGAATACAAATTGGATTAAAATCTCTTGGGTGAATTGGGTCTTTCAATGTCACACCGTAACTACCACTCGTTTGAAGGTCCTGAATGGGCAAACTTCCCTCATTTCTCTTTCCTCTCTTTTTCCACATGCACTGTCCTGATGTACATGACTGGAGATCATTGAATCTCACATTTGCTTCTAGATCAAACAATGCTGCAGCTATGTGCCGGCAACCTCCATCTGCCCTGTTTAAAGGAGGACCAATATGACAAATATGTATCTCACATTGTTCACACTGATAGACTGTAAAGTAGCCAATAAGTTCAGTTACTAGGCTCACAGATTCTGACTTTGAACCACTGTTTTAATACTTAGTGCTGAAGTCATAAGTGATCCAGAAGGTTTGAGACTTAAAATAATGCATCTATTGATTTAGATCTTCAATTCAGGAGGCATCTACTTTTTACTCATGTTACAAATGCTACAAGGAAAATATAAACCTTCGAATCTGAATAAAACAAAACCTGTCACAGAGAAAAACAACCGAAAAGACCAAACGTTTTGATTCTCAAACGTATGTTTATGGAATATCAAGCACATAGACAGGCTTCAGAAATCAAAAGAAGAAAATACATACCCTCCTTTGCATAAGCAGTAGGCTGAATTGACACTTCCATCCTTCTTTAAAATGAAAAACCCTCTGTATGTTGCTGAACCATCATCAGTCTTGGATTTTTCAGTTGGCTTTACAGCAAACTTAAAATAACTGTAATTACTATTGGGTTGAGGTGGATGATACCAAAGTTCTTCCACATGTCCATCAAAAAATATTTGTACCCCAATAAAGATTTGTAACTTTTAGGCTTTCGCTGTTGTATACGGGATCTTTACCCACCAGGTAATTAAAAAGATCGGGGAATCTAAAGTCCGGTACGTTAGTAAAGTTTTTGGTCCATTGGGAAAAAACACGGTTTTCGTTATCCAACGGATTTGCGAGATCTCCCTCATCGGTTTTCAGTTGCTCTTTCATAGAAACTCTTGGATCGACTGGTGCTTCCTCTTCAGCAATTTTTGGGACTTTCATCTCCTCACTTTTCTCACAAAGTTCTACCAGTTCAACCTTACGTTTTCCTGAGCTTTGAATGCCCCTTTGTTTTAAGTATTCTTTTAACCAAGGAACCGGTTTACAGTGAACCGGTTTACAGTGAAAACTGCCTGCAGCAGAGTCAGCCATCTTGTGTCCTCTAAGCCTCGCTTACACGCGACTACCTAGTTCTCAGGAGTGCGCGGTCAAAAATATCGAAAGGACCCTATTTACACGTTGCATTCCTCTGTCTAAAAGAGAGGCCAAAATAAAAATCAGGCCGGATTTTTTGTGTTCGACAAGTTTAGTTTACTAGTAAATCTTGGCGACGAATCTGGTGGCGTGTAAACCAGCCTTTTAAACATACTTTTTCTCATCACGTCTCAGGTAAACAGTACACAGACCTCGGACAGAATTTGTTCTTTTTTGCCCTATTTAAACCTATAATTCTGCAGTTTTTCACGATTTTGCAAGAGAATTTGCACTCATTCAATATCCACGACGATCAAAGCACGCGCTTCCTTTGCACAACAAAATTATAGCATTGAATTATAAAACGTTTTCTGTTAGAAAAATCTGGTCCTATGTGATATGCGCGAAGTAATTATGGGCTTTTAATGAAAACGATAAAAAAATTCCCAAAATCACTTTTCGGCCAGCCGGACGGGTTCTCACTTTTAACAGGCACCAAATTTGCAGTGCGATTAATAGAGTTACCATTTACGCTTCAACATGATAGAGAAATTGCTATGTTTAGGTTTTATTTCCCTTTATTCATTAAACTGTGTATGATTTTGTTATGTGTAATCTTTAAAAGCGAGTGATAATTACGCGCGGCGTTTTGAGTATTCCTACATGCGATGTTTATGTTCGACTGGAAACAACCGGTGCAGCGATGAAAATTGCGAGAAGGACTACTAACAATCAATGAAATAAGTTTAATTCGGTGAAACATGTACAGAGACAATAATTTTCATTCACAAAGAGAAGTATTGAGAGTAAAGTGTCTCAGAAAATCATGAGTCAAGCAAGCATAAGCTTATGTTTTAAGCCGGCTTCCCGGTGTTCGCTCTTTTTCAAGATGAACTCGAGGCAAGAAAATCGCTCAGAGCTTTCTGTTTACAGCCAAAATCATAACTAAATAATCTTCGGAACCTTTTCTTTGAATTTGCGGGTCAAAAACTGTCTACACGCTTTTTAAACCTGATACTATTGTCGGTTAGATCATTGCTCGTGTTTTAACTTAAGCCGCATAAACCATACGCTCGACTTCAGGAAACCGAAAAAAAAAACTTCAAAAACAATAATGGCTCAAGCTTACCAGTCGAGATGCTGCTTCCGAAGGTCATCAAGTGTTCCAGAATCGCTTGAGACTTTTCAACCTTCTTACGCCTCAAGCAAGGGCAAGTGAGTAAGCTCATTTTTGAAAACGATGCCATCCGAAATCGGATTTCCAATGACTTTGACAAGCGGTGCATTTGTCAACAAGAAGCGCAATAAACAAACCAGCCACGAATTACAGAACAATCTTGATAGCAGCTGTATTTCATTTTGTACACCAAGTCGAAAAAGACAGTTTAAAACACCACAAGATGACACAAAACTCTCTCAGCTCCAGCTATCAGTAAGCAAGTTTCCAGACGCTGCAAAAATTTTCCGCATAAACTCACCTGTCAAATTTTGACCAATCAGAACATAAAAATTGGACGTAGAGCGTGATCAACGCGTGACAGTGAGAAAAGTCAAAAGCGATTGAACTCCCTGCATGTAAATGTAAAAGCCGGTTGAATTTTCGTGTCCGAGATCAGTTCGAAATCAACATTTTAAAAGTGCGGCTCATGAAACAAGACTTATTTCATATGCATTTTAAAAAAATTGAACTTGAGCCTGCGATCATTAGAAAAGTAGCAACTTGTCAGCGAATACCTTCAAAATATTACTCGAACTCAGAGGGTCGATACCTGAGCCTGCGATACGGTCAGGCGATACTGGTGAGCAGAAACACTGTTTTGACAGCTGTCAATTAATCAAAACATGGATGTACAATATCAGGTTGCAGGCTCCGAAACTAGCTAGAAAGTGTGAGATTAAACATTGGTATGCCTGTGGTGCGGACGGACGGAAGGTCGGGTGGTCGGTGTACGGTCACGTGATTGCCGAATTTTCTGGGATGGATAGATTTTCTATAAAGCTATGGGGCTTCGAATTGAGCCCGTGATCAAATAAAATATCAGCGCAAAACTTTAAACACTACGTGACCTCAATAGATAGAAAAATGAGCCCGCGATCCACTTAGGTGGTGGTCAGCGTATACTCTAGTTTGACAGCTGTCAATTAACCTTCATTAGAATGGCGAATATTCGAATTAAAAGACTACGAGTGTGAGTAGGACATTTCCGTCCGGCATGTAGTGGAAAATGCCAGATCGTGTACCTGAGCGAACCTGAGCCCTCGTTATTAGTTTTCTGATAGCGGTCTGAACATGTCCCATTTTGACAGCTGTCAATTGACCTTAATTTGGCCTGCCAATGTAACTTTAAACGACTGTCAGCCAACTGACAGCCTTGCCCGGCGTAGTTTCGTTTTTATGTTGAATTGGTAAGTGTGACATATTATATCAGCTTATATATAGGGGCAAAACGACTGGTCTTTTATCTGAGCCCGCGAGACGGTCATGTGATAATTGTCAGCGGATGTCTGATTTTGACAGCTGTCAATCTAATCGTACTCATACGGATGGCTTACATAACTAAGAGCTGAGGCTAGTCAAGTTGTGCAAGATCTATTGTGACATTTGACATCGGCTTACATGAAGTGTGTGTACGGACGGGCGTACGCTACGTCATAACCAAATTTTCTGGGATGGATAGTTTACCAAATTTTCTTACCCATGGTGCTCCGCTGCGCGCGCGCTTCGCGCGCGCGGGAGCTCCGCTAAAATACTGAGGTCTGCGAACGATAAATATCATTATTCTTACTTTATTTTTTTTTAATAAAGGAGACTTACCTTTGATGTATTCCTGTGTTTTTTGGTGTAAATTCATCGAGCCACCCTTGGTCGAGGAAAATTTTACCTCGGAGGCAACGCCCCGTGGGCTCCTCTCGTGGTTTCTTGATCAAGTTTCAAGCGCAGAATGCAGTGAGAGGCATCTCTTAAACTTTATTTCACCTCCCTAGAGAACACAGATCTCACAGGATTGCCTTAAACTAGATTGGGTGTGAATACCTCTATGATGTAATCTTCGCACTTAATTTCGAGTGTCGAGAATAGTCAGAAAGAGCGCACCAACCTTAGCGTTTGGCATAAATCTGGCCGATTAAAGAAGGACAACGAGATACGGCCATTGTAAAACTTGAAAAGTTCAACTAAGAAATGCATGAATCAAGATTGTATCCAGAGGGTGACGAACCATGGGAAATCAGCACGAAAGATGATAAATTGAACTAAAATGGGAATACTCGGGCTCCGGTTGTGGTAAGCAGAATGATATGCATCCTTTGAGAATTACTCAGTATCATGGGTTTCTGTAAAATTCCTAATGTGTCCCGAGGTGGGTGGGTGGAAGTGGAGCTAACTCGACATCTCTTACTCTCTCTAGAGCAGAAAAGGGCATTTTTATTAGAAAGAAAAAAGTGCGACTTTTTTCTTTTTTTAATTGTAACTGAAGTACTTATCTAGTATTATTCAAAACTATTTAGGCTAAATAGGTTCTCATGCATGAAAAGGGGGTTCAAAATGAAAATTTTAGCCTAACAGGTTCTTAGATATGCGGATTTTTACTGTAATTAAGCAGGAACGAATTGTAAACATTCGACTCTACCATGTCGATTCCAAACTTGATGTACTTATTTGCATAAAAGATATATTCACACCTGTCTTTCTGACAAGTTCTTAAAACCCGGCGAACAAAGAAAAACATGATGGGAAAAAATTATTGGGAAAACATTTTGAATCCGTCATTGTCCTTAAGTTTAAAGCTTGCATCAAAAACTCACTTTGAAGTAATATTCTGATTATTGACAAGTTTAGCAAATAAAATTTGTGACAATTCTTTCTGTTTATACAATAGGTATTGAAACAGGGGGAACATATTTAGGATATGAAATGAAAATAAATTAGCTGGATGAACAGAAAAGTTGTCTGAGTGTCCTTCTAACAGCTCGCCTTACTTCCCTGGCCTTCCAGCAATAAAGAAATGGGTTTAAAGATGAGTTGAAATAGACTAGAGTAAGGGTGAATTGCCTTACAAGGTAAAGTGATATATCCATCCCTCTCTGGGGTGTTAAAGCTACAGCTATGCCGTGAGGCAGGTAACAAATAAAAAGTGTTCCTTGAACCCACAGTCCACTATACACTGCCTTTCTGTATTTAGCTATGATAAGTGATTGACTTGGTGGCCCTTGACCGCAGTTGTGGCCCTGCAGCATTGTATGAATCTGGTTATGGCGCAGAGTAAAGATTATTTTTGTGTACGAAAACACGGAGATCAGCAGGCAGAGAGCTATCGTTATGTAGGCAGAATATTGATATATAGGAGGATTCCAAAAGTAGCTTGATGTGCAGACAATGGACAAAACCCACATAACGATCACAGCTGTATATGCTCTCTTCAAAGTTATAACTTGTCTGTATCTGAGCCCTAGCGACAAGGCGAGAAGTCTGTCCACGCTTATCGCAGCAACTGTTACTAAAGACTCCGCGCACAAAATAGTTCCCGTAATAGCAAGTATTAAATGTGTGTTAAGGCAAACATCCCATGTTTCGTTGACTACAGACATAAAATAAACAACGCACAGAGGCTCCGCAATGATACCAACACAGAGATCAGTTATCGCCAGGTTACAATACATGAGTTTGAAAGGTGGGTGAAGTGAAGATTCTTTGCGTAAGGCAACTAGGATCAGAGTGTTCCCAAGAAATGCAGAAGTGGCCAGTAGAGTATTTAGCACTGAAAGAAAAATAAGCTCATTATGAACTTGCCCAGCGGTAAAACGTTTTGAGCAATACAAGTCTCTGATCATTTTCTCGGTTAAGTATTCAGTAAAATTTGTTGGTTCTGCCATTTCTCCGGAGTCTCTGCAATGTCAGAAATGGAACAAGTTTACTGTTCTTCAGGACATATATGTCATTTTATTGGCTGCAAAATTAGCACCTGTCTAGGTTAATCCATATAAGGAACAAAGAAGTTAATTTTGATTGGTTCCACCCTATTTTGTGGTTCTGGATCTGTTTTTGTATCTTATTGATAGATTTTAACACAGTGGAACGAAAAATTCTTCCTAGAGCGATCATACTGAAAAAAATCTCAGTTTTTTGGGCGACTCCCCTTTCTAGTAAAAAAGGAACGAGAAAGGAATAACCCTCAGAAAAATGATATGATATTGTTTCACTGTCAGATGGTTAATTATAATTACTGTAATTTCGGGCTTTCCTCAGCGTATCCTGTGTTTCACCTTATCTTTACATCTAATTGTTGTCGTGGATAGGCGTCATTGTGCACACAACATCTCAAACTGAGAAAATAAAAAGAACTTAGTTTGTTAAGAGTGTTTGGAAATCAGATGGGAAATTCCATTTTTTCTGAGTCCTTATTTTCCCCATGTTTTGAAATAAGTAATACAATACACCCATCTGCCACAGCATTTCAAATACAATATCAAACATCTCGAATTCCTCCTAAAACACTCCCACATCTTTACGCCAAAATTTGATAGTTTTCTGTACAAGAACCTGTTTAGCCTAAAAATGGAAACAGGTTCTTATTTTCTAAAACCTAGAAAAAAATTCTGTACCCTTGCTTGGGCGAAGAAGATAAATCAACATTCAGGATCCTCTTTGGAGACATTAAGTGCCTTGTCACTCCAACTGCAATTGTAGTAGTAAAGAGGTTTTACCTAAGGAACGATCTGAACACCACTAAATACTCTTAGCTATAATGTACTTTTTCTTCAGAAAATAAAAACCTGTTTAAGAACCTAAGTGGCCTAAATTTGTACTATTTAACGTAAATGCAATGACCATCAACTTCAACGTATTCCGTACAGTAAAAAAATGAAGAAAGTCTTGGTCTTCAAAAGTTAGCTAACTTCGTAGGAAGAGCTCCACAGTTAGAGTTTTAATTTGTTAGAAATTGAGCTACAAATTACAAAAGGACCGATGGCGCCCGATTATCGAATATCATGAAAATGTTTGACCAATGACAGCTGGCATATCGCTTGAAATTTGCGGGGGATTAACCAAGAGTTGAAGACTTCTTTCGTGGGTGCTTGATCAAGTTTGAAGGGCAGAATGTAGTGAGAGTTATCGTTAAAGAAAAAAAAGAAACTGGCATATCGCTTGCAGGGTTTTCGGTAGCATTTGGAAGTACCGGATGAAGTGGTTCAGCTGGTCCAGGGGGCATGCCCCCCCCCACGGCAAATTTGTAAAATTGGACTCTCTAAAATGCAATTTCCTGCGTTCGCTGGACCGGAATTGGGTAACCGGGAAGGTCTTTAAGGCGTTATATAAAAAATGCTCACGAAAAAAAATAAATTACCCATTTTAACGTTTGTATTTTTCGGAAGTTTTCGAGAAGGTAAGTTTTTATCAAACGTCGGATCACTAGACTTTCACTGCCGTGCTACAGATGGCTTTTAAGATAAAAATATGCCTCGAATACTAAAATACGTTCAACAATGCACGTTAAGTTTTTGGTTTCTTGGTTTCAGACATCGAATTTAATTTAGTCGAATAGAACGGCTGTTGCCAAAAACAAAACACAAAAATAAAAAAAACGATTCGGCAAAGTTTTAAATGTATTCTAGTGTACTCGTATTTTGTAATTTGCTGCAGCGCCACGTTTTGAAACCAAGTTGAGTTACTGCCTTGCTAAAGCTGAGTCGAATTTAATTCGATTAGTTTTGTTCGGCACGGCAGTAGCACGATGTTTGAAACGTCTTAGTAAAATGTTCGATAACTTAATTAATATGCAAACCATAAATATATTGGCCCCATACATAGACTATCTACTAGCTAAAAGTGAACTGGCCCGAATTTCTACCGATCAAATTTAACGTTATCTTTCAACAAAGGTTTTGGTTTTTGGAATTTACGACGGTCGTGATTTATTTTCTAGCTTGCTGACCCAAACATCGAGCAGCTACTGAGCTACGCTGAAAACCTTTTTTAGTTCTCCATGCTCTGCTGCAAAATGCAAAGGCGGCTTCGCCGATACTATGCAAGAGAACGGCTTATAAAAAAACTAAGAGATTCAATTTGAGAGTAAATGCTGGCGTTAGAGCCGGGGGTGGGGCATTTGCAAATTTTGCGCTGCCCGGGGGCTGAACATTTGCCAACCCCGGGTCCAGCCCCGGGCTTTTGACACGCACGCGGTTTCCTATCAGAATATACCTACACAGAGGATTTTATAGGTAATAGCATGATTTGTAGTGATATTTGGTATAAATACCACGAGTGATATTTCGAAATTGTTATACGTAATTTCACGAGCCGTTAGGCGAGTGAAATTTGAGACAATTTTGAAATATCACGACGGGTTGTTTATACTACTACCCGCAAAAGGTTTGTAATTTTCACATGTAGGCATTTCAAATTAAGCTGAAATACCACTGCTCTAAGCCAATCAGATTGCAGTAATTTCTCATGTAGTAGTATAATACTTGAAAAACAAGCAGATTGGCTCATTTGTCAAGGATGGGAAAAAATTGAAGAGGTTTGTAAAGGCATGTTCTCGATTTTATGCATGCATTTCTTCATTGCTCATCAAGCCAGAATCGACATAGCGAAACTCGGGAGCTATCGACGTGAATCAACGTTTTTTTGGTTGTTGAATCAAATTTCTCTTGATATTATTTGAAGAACACCCTTTCATATTTATAAAACTATTCATTGCAGTTAACTTTACAGCGCACTATTGATTTTTAAAATGTCAATAATTTTATAACAATACTAAAACCATAAACCGGTGTCGTCACGGCGTGAAGTCTCAATTAGAATAGCACAAAAAATCGCACATTAAAATGCTTAAAATGGCGCTATTCGACAGTGCGATCAATGCAAAATGTTGGAGTGTTGCCCTTTTTTCCCTCCCCACCCTGAGGGATTTGATAGCTCAAGAGTCCCTACCCCCGGGAATTTGCCATCCAAGGCCAAAAAAAATGCTTATGCCCGAGGGTCAGCGTGGGAGTTGGGGGGTGCTGGGCGCAGCTGAAATTGACTGATGCATTAGTTTTTAGTAACGGCTTCTTTATATTTTTTAAGATTGCTCTATAACCCTATGGAAATAATTTCATCGAGGTCACGAACGGTTAAGTGATGAATCCCGAGGAAGAGAAGAGATTTTTATGTGTTTGGCTGCTCTACTATGTCAACAATTTTTGCCGATTTGCGAATAGAGGTGCGAAGATATCGACGCATGGATATTAAAGGGTTTAATGTGGTGCTCGAGACGTTTTCTTTCGACTTAAAGGTTTAAAAACAATTGGACCCGACGGTAGCTTGCGTAGCAGGCGCTTTCCAACGCGGCAGTAAAATTTTACAGTTTAATGGCTCTCAACGGATAACCTGCGATCAGGCTTTTTTTTTCTCGGGGAAAGGGAAAACAAAAGTCTCCCAAACAAAAAGGGAAGAAGGACCGCCTGATCGCAGGTTACTCAGCGGACAAATGCGACTCATTATTAGCTGAAATATTTACCTCAACTGAGCACTGCTAGCAGAGATTTTGGCACAACGATCAAATTTTTACGCCTGGACGGCCGAAGAATTCTTGGTGGACATACATATAAATCTCTCGTCTTCTCCCGAGATTCAACACTAAAACGCTCTGGATCAAAACCTTGATGAATACCTTTACAAGCAAATGAAGACGTCCACGTGCGTTTTACGATCATTTACTTGATGTCATCGGACGGGAGCAAATACTCCGGATGATAAGAAAACCAATCGACTGCCATGCTTTTGATCTTACATCCGACAAATTTTGCTTTTTTCCAGCCATTGGGGAGAATAGTGTGCTGGCTCGCATACGACTCGCCATCAATAATATTAAATCTAGCAAATGTTGTTTCCATAGTTACTCGTCCACTCGTCATGACGATATAACTTATTGATCAGTGCCGATATCTGTATAAGAGTACGCTTGCAGACAAACGCTGCGCTGACAGATGCACCACAGTAAGTAAAGGGCTATAATAAGTCATTGAGATGATGACAACTTATCACTGACAAACTGGTCAATAGATATACATATATCATTGAAGGAATCCGGCCTAGATCAAGATAACAACCCTTCCAAATTAACATTTTATAGCCTTGTAGATGTACAGTCCTTGTTATGGGAGGTTTTCAAGCCTAACAGAGATGCTAAGGGTTACTTGCAGACGATGCTACTACAGCTACATAATGCAGTTTACGTTAGAAGTAGGAGCTGGAAGTATTTACTAGGTTTCTTAACTGTGCAAAAAATGTGAATCTGTTTTAATTTACACTGAATGCACTAAAACGGTATTCAAAGTTGAAAAACAGAATTGTGATTGAAACACCAAGGTGCCCGCGGCGGCAGACCTAAAGACGTAACAGGTGAATTCTGTGGTATTACCCAAAGATAACGACGTTTTAGACTAAGGTGATTAAGCATTCAAATCATAGTGAAAAGTGAATAGCGTTTAAAAGTGTCACAAAGTTTCTACAGTTCTGATTTTCAAAGATTATAGGGGACAAAAAAAACCACATGATTTATTATTGCAGGGTAATTTTCAGTAAGGCAAAACAATTGCATCAGATCCAAATGAGTAACAAAGTTCAACTCCTTTTTAAGTGCGTAAATATCACCCATTCACCCATATCACTTATGACAGGAGCTCAGTCATATTTCAGTCCTTCATTTTTATCTGGAACCTCAGATGACTTGAATTATTTTTTTAGTCGCCATAAGATAAATGTAAGTTGTGAGATTACAGACAAGAAAAACATAGAAGTGTAGCATTGACCTTTACAAACACTACAATTTGTACTACTCTATTATTAATGATGACTGGATTCTATAGAAAGGTAAACAAGTATTACCGGTTGAAACTATAATTAGATCCTTACAAGAGTGGTAAAACTAGTCAACGGAAAGAGAGGTAATTAGGGCACTTATTCTATTTTCAAATTATTCAAAAATGTTCAAAAAAAGTAAGGAATGCCTACCCTGGGTGCCAAAGACTATTCATGCGCGGTCTCTAGTTACGGTCAAGTCTTTACTGACCCCTGAGAAAAGTTTTTTTCTCACCGCTTCGCCGCTTGTGACGTCGGCCTGCGACCGTCACCGAACCATCCAGCAGCAAGCGAGAAAAAATATCTGGTACCAAGGGTAAGCAAGCTGTGCAACTTGCAGAAACAGGCCAGGGACGATTAGCTTTGACGACCAACAAGCGTTTCGAAATTTCAGCTTTTATATCTTTTCACGTCGAACAATATATTTCATCAACTCAAGCTGATAAAATTCAATTTTTGTCTGCGAAGCTTACTCGTGCTTCTTTGTTTTCTTTTGTTTCTTTATTCAATAGACATGTTTTCAGTTGCCGCCATAGTTGCCATAATAACCGGGTCACAAGTGCTCGCTGAATGTGACATCAAATCAGGAACGGGTTTGGCTCTCATTGGGCATGCGTACTTGAGCCTCCCAGTGCAAGACGCCCATCAGTGTTATGAGAAATGCAAGTCAGACGAACCAAAGTGTCGTAGTTTGAATTACTATGGTGACAGCAAGTTCTGTGAGCTTAATAACGTAACCAGGACATCTCATCCGGGTGACTTGAAGGAAAATCCCGTATCTGTATATTTTGAAAGCCGATATAGAGGTAACAACCAATAGCCATGATATGTTAGCATGGTCGATCAAGAGATTAAAAGTTCCTTAAATACAAACGCCGAAGTTCAGAGACTCACAACAGTATTGTCATCCACTTATTCTGTGCAAACCTTTCCCTAGTTTTAGAAACGAGCGAAGAGTAACCACTTAAAGTATGGCTGGAAACGACGCTCTCTTTTGGCACTAAATATAGCTGAATATTGATTACAGTCAACTTCTTCTAAGACGGACACCTTTGGGACCGGCAGTAAGTGTCCGTCTTAGAGAGATGTCCGTCTTATAGAGAGTCAAATAAAGGAAGTAAAAAGAAAGGCAGGGACCAACTCTAGGTGTCCGTTTTAGGGAGGTGTTCGTCTTATAGAGGTGTCCGTTAAGAGAGAGTCGACTGTACCACCTATTTTTATTACTTGTCTCTCTTGCTTTCACCTATCCTTATTGTCCTGCATGTTATGTCGAAGAAAAGATTGAAAAAAAAAATGAAAATCTGAGTAACAGATCTTTAAAACATCCACAGTTACCACTGGTTCACAGCGGTCTGTTGCAGCCAGTTCTTGTCAAGACATTTTGCAGCGAGGGGACTCAACCGGAAATGGATTCTACTGGTTGGATTCAAATAGTACTGAGGACCCGTATGTTACGTTTTGTAACATGACCAGCGGAGGAGGTAGTACCGATACACGATTGGATCAACCATTGCTTTCGCCTTAAACCACGCTGTCTTATACCTGTAACCTCTGACCCAAGTCTTATCTTACTTTTTCATGTTATTTTGAGTTTTGGTTGCACTGGAACTCGTAACAAAAATATTTGCTAGTGGATAAAAACTCGTTCAGACTTTGGGTAGTATAACATACAAGGCGCGGGAAACAACCCCAAAGTTCTTTTTTACCTTAGGCCTCTTAGTCTGCCCGTGGGACAGAATCTGGGGAATCGGTGGCAAAGCGGACAAAACAATGGTTTTTGTAACTGGTTTTTCAGTTTTCCTCTCTTGCATGAGCAGGACCGTCTTATGAATTAGGTAAGGAGAAACTTTCATAAAGTAGAATAAAATCGGACCGGGAAAGGCACTTTTCTCGTAAAAAGAAAAAAACGTGTTATTAATTTTTTGGGAGGTGGGGAGGGGCAAAGGAATTGCTTGTTAAATTATGATTAGGCATCCTAAACTGACATCCAGCTCCCATTATATTTTCAATCAGTAGTCAATTAATAGACAGAAATGCGTTTCAGAAAACTGGCCCCAGTAATTATGTAACTCTGATCTTTATCTCAGTTATCATAGTTTATGCGTTGTTTTTAACAGATACTAGTGCCTCATTTGACTTGATATTTAAAGACCGCAATACTTCCAACTACGTCGAACTTGAAACGTCTTTCCCAAATCTCTCCTCGTTCACGGTGTGCTTATGGTTCAAATCCATGGAGCGACAATTGCTTTTCTTGTCTTACGCCACGGAACCCTTCACAGACGCAATCATGATGTTTTTAAGCTCAACCGGACTATTCAGATTTCTGGTGATGAATGAGCAAACGTGAGTACATTTTGATGTGACCGAACTGACGAGGCAAGATAAATTTTAGACTAAGATAGACTCTTTATTTTCATCAGCCTTAGTAGAGGGAGCAAAAAAAAAGAGAGCGCGCGTGAGTCGCTATCGAAATTAAAGAGGACTCTTTGTCTATGGGTACTATCAGAAAAAAAAATCAAATTTGAGTGATATTAGTGAAGAGGCCGTGGATTAATTAATCATGAGCAGTTGTCTTATTTGTCGATCTAGGCACTGTAAGCGTGGCTGTTGAACTAGCCTGAGTATCAGGCCTTCCTAAGGGGCTAAGGGAGAGGAGATTTTTTTCGCGCTTTTTCTTTTTTCGCTTCTCTCTTGCCCATTTCCCCCCCAAAACGCCTGATACTCAGGCTCCGGTTAAACAAGCAGAGCTTTATTTCATTGTCGTAAAACCGGAGCACACTGAGTTAATAGTCTAAAACATTTTTTTCTAGTCATGGTCATACAGGAACCTTTGAAGACAAGACTTGGCATCATTTGTGTGGTACATGGGCCAATCATGATGGTGTTGTCAGATTATTCATAGATGGTGACTGCAAACTTACTAGCGATCGAACCATCCATGGGGTAATTCCTGGCACTGGAAAGCTGATTTTGGGGCAAGACCAAGATATAATGGGAGGGGCTTTCGTTTATCAGCAGAGCTTTGTAGGCGAAATGAGCCATCTGTACATCTGGAACACTGATCTGGGAACCAGCGTCATATCCACCTTGAGCATGCACTGTAAAGAGCATCCATACCCTGGTTATATTATGAAGTGGTCTGACTTCACGGAGGCGGGGATACACGGCAATATAACGAAGCGAAATAACTCAAGATGCTTAACAGCGCAAGACATGCTGCCATAAAGTTGAAACTATGTCTGTAAATCAAGCTTTGAAGACAAGATCAATCAAAATTTTGCATTTGTTTTAGGTTTTTTGTGCAATTCATCACCTCTTGTTTGTTAGTTCTGCGCAGTGATTAAAATTTGGGATATTGTTTTCTCTCCGTTTTAAATACTATACCGTTAGCTCAGTTGAGAGAGCGCCGTTTCGCTGTTCGGGAGGTCACGGGTTCAAAGGTCCGGTCTTTAAATAACTGAGAAAAAAGTGCTACCTTTGTAATGACATCTGCAAACGGTTAGACTTTCTAGTCTTCTCGGATAAGGACGAAAAACCGTGGATCCTGTCTCAAAGTACTTTCACTTAACTGGTTCTTACGGAACGTAAAAGAACCCACACCCGGCACTGTTCGAAAAGTGTAGGGGAGGTAGTCCTCGGTGGTGTGACCAACCTTTCCTGGCCTGGGTGGGTTATCTGTATAACAAGAGATCATAAAATATGGATAACCCTGATGGTCCTCCTTCAGGTGTTGTAATGCTGCCTCGTTCCTAGGCGTCTCAACTATAGAAAACGGAAAACGCGACTGCACGAGCCATCAAGGAGTATCGCGTAATGGACCATGGGAACGTTTAGCGTGGACGCAACGGACTACAGGGCGGAACCAAAATCCCAGTCGCTGTCGAATCCGCTAGAACGCGCCTGGGTACGAGGTAGTGTTGTAATGGTTACCTTTAAAAAGTGTATGGATTGATTAATCTCCATAAATGGCGGTTTAGTTTGGTGACGGAGATTTTCTACTCCTCATTTCTAGCGCCGCTTCGGCGCGAGTGAAGTTTCTTCATTGTGCTCCAAGGAAACCGTCACTACTACCGGGGGGGTAGGGGAGGAATAGGTATTACTTATCCTCAGTCGCAGTCATTTTGTGGTACTCGCGTGTTACATGCATGTGTCTCTCGAAATCGGTAACAACCGTCCACAAATTTCTTTGTAACTTAGTTGACGAGAAAGTCAGATCAGGGTCTACTCTACTAAAAATATTAAACCAATTAATTATTTGTATTATTGGTATACTGCACATGAGAAATGGAACTCCTTGAAGGATTAAAATGGAAAGTTGAGAAGCTTTATTGATGAGCTCCTGTTTATTGTTATTATCATCAGTATTATCTTTTGCCCTTTTCTCCCACACCGTCTACATTCCCGTTTCATGTAAGGTTAGTTCCCCCTAAATACATAGAACCAGAAAAACAACTGCTGAATTCAAGGTAAAGGAAAATAAATTTGATAAACGAGTGTTTCCAAAAACGAATCACTGTCTCACTCCTTCATAGTGACTCACCGACAAAAAGGTATAACTTTCTCTCAGGAATGAGCTAATGTTGTCATAGAAATGAAGTTTTGGATTTCGGCGTTTTTCATTCAACTACACAAAAGATAAAACGGTTTTCCAGTATATTTTATCCTTCAGTTTCTTCTCGTTTTTTGTCTCTTTTTCTTCCCTTCTTCCCTCCTTCAGTTTTTGGTTCTTCATGTACTCAATATCCACTGGGTGGGCAGAGGAGGTAGAAAGAGGAGGCCGGATCGTCCAGATTTGTGTTCTTTTAGTTGGCTGGTTAGTTTGTTACCCGGTTAGTTGGTTAGTTAGGCTCTGTCCATCCATAGTCGGATGTCGCTCCTTTATTCCAATCCGTACAGTCTCTCGCCTTAGTTCAAGTTGATCCTCCAGCATTTGTTCAGCCCAGTGTGCCCTTTCTTGGTGGCTTTAACCGGCTGGATAATTAAACCGAATCCTCAATCACTACCGAATGATTTATGGTAAAGGTTACTAAATCAACGATATTGACCCTCGAATTTGTACCACGTGACCAAACTTCCTCTGAACTTTAGCCTGCGTAGCAAGCGTTTCCGCGCGCGTTCGTCGAGAACGTTGGGATGAGAGCAGCTTCACATTGGTTTTGTCTATGTCAGTTGTTTTGGACTGTTTTTAGCTGTTCGCTTGCCATTTTGGAGAATTCTCAGCTAAAATATGTACTCAGGCCCCATTATGGTTAAGATAACCGTGGGGCACTGGAAAGAGAAAAATGAGAGCAGCAATATGTCTCGAGTGGAAATTTGTTCTCTCGCTTACGAGGGAAAATTTAAAGAACTGAAGGAGAAAATAGATTTGAAACCAAGTTTAGCAACCAAACTAGACGAGGTAAGACTTTGGTGAAAATTGGGCTAGTTTGTTTGGATGTGAGGATGAAATTCACGTGTTATTTACGCCGGGGAATAAGCAATATAACATGTATACCATAAATCATCTAATAGAAGCCCTATCAAATAAATGCCTCTTGTCTAATAAACACCCCTCTGCACTTGTAAGTTTGTAAAAATTTACATGCCCCTCTCTAATACACACCATAACCTGTCTAATAGATGCTTTGCATGACAGTTGCTCCGAAAATACTAGGAAAAAGTGAAATGGATTCATTCACTTTCTTGTTTGAATAACACAAGTTGTGTATTGCATCTTGTTCAATGGGAAGTTCAAAATAAGGATTCTGCCCTTAAAGCTGAGCTTGAAGATATGATGTGGATCTATGAATGGAAGAGACATGTCAGTGGATGACAGTTTAATTTTGTGTACTTTGTTACAGTTCTGAGAATAAACACCTCTCTCTCCAGTCTGTGTAACACCCCCACTTGAGCTCCCAAAATTTAGAAAACACCCATTTATCTTAGTAGCCTTGGGTCATTTACCGTCTATAGTTTCATATTGCACAGTTTTCTTAACATCAAATGGCCCAAGTCTGTTACATGTATTTCTATAGCTAGGAGCATTAACCTGCAAAACTAACAATCAGAATAGGCTGCTAAATTCCAAAGTAATAAGGATGGTTACTGTCTTGAATTTATGTTAGGGCAGTCATCATAATGTGTATTTAATTTTAGAATGAACGAATGCCAATTCACTGGGCAGCATCAGGTGGACACACTGATATTGTCAGATTTTTGCTTGATCTTGGAGTGCCAGTAGATAACAAAGATGATGTAAGTTTTAAGTTTACAGTCAAACCAGGTCAAGCGTTCCCGTCGTTAGCAAACTAATGAATTCATTAATGGGAAAATGATTTTGTTTGTTGATTCAATAATCCATTCATAAAATGAATAATCCAACAGTCAAATTGGACCTCGATTCAATAATTAAATGTTGATTTGGTTTATGAACAAAATCTACCTGTTCTTTATTCTTGTCTGTTGAGTTCAATCGTATTTGCTTCCCTTTTCCTGCCGTTAACGATTGCGTTTTTAGTTGCCTTTAATCAAAATAACAGCTAGAAGAGACAGACCGCAAACGTAAAGAAACTGACAAAGGCCGGGATCGAAATCCACCAATCACCGCACATACACTGACCTCAGTTTGACTATCGTGTTTTCTAAGAGGTCAGGTCCGTTGCACTGATTACTGGAAGCAAAACGGCGTACAGTTTGTTTGGGTTTGAACTTACTAGACTCTTAGAAAAAAAGAAGAAAAAAATGTGTAGTTTTTTCAAAAAACAGTAATCGAATCAACATTCAATTATGGAATCGAGGCTAAATGTGAATATTGGATTGTTCATGTTATGAGTGGATTATTGAATCAACGAACGAAATCATTTTTCCGTTAATGAATTTATTAGTTCGTTAGCGACAGGAACGCTTCACCTGGTTTGACTGTAAAAGTGTGTTGTGTCAGAAAAATACATTTTAACTTAGTGCTTATTTATGCACACCCACTTATTCATGAATGCCCATTTACAATACTATTATTTTTATTAGATTTTGAACTACTCCCAAGTAATCTGGGCACTCATGAATGCAGGTAGCCTGAAATTCATCCGATTACTTCGAGTTGTTTTCTCCTCTCAACAATCGACGGGCCGTTAATGCCATCCAGTGGCGTCACTCAGTACCCGAAAACCTGGTAGTGATTATTGGTTGATTGTCTAAACATTTGCATATATTATGTATAATTATGAAAAATTTTAGCGGGATTGTCGCTTGATATTCAGCGGATCGCATCCCTGGCATTCTTTCGTGTAGTTCAAACATTTCGATAAGCTTAATCTTTATCTTAAACAGCAAAATTGCCCTTGTCTTCGAAACTGAAATGCTAAATTGAACTGCAAATGAAGAATCATTGCGGAGAGTTGGTAGGTTTTTCATTTAGAGCCGCTTTGTGGTTTCAGTGACCGGTGATTTTGTTTACGCGAAGTTTTCTGAGATCAATGTTGTAATTCGACCTTCTTGCTATTTTCACTGTCAAGTGTAATGATTCTGTTAGCTTTTCTTTCTTGTTTCCTGGTTTTTTTATTCTTCATTAAATAGCTTCTTTTCAATTAAAGCAAATCATTGTGTTTTTGAACTAAGTGTTTCAAGTGTGTGTTTATTTCATTGCGTGATTGCGACCGAGTTTGATTATAGAATTCAGTACAACTGGTTCATTGTTGTACTGCACGCAGTTGATAGGTTGAATGTTAAACATGAATTACGATTGAAAAAAGTAAAGTAATTCTGTATCATGCAGACATTTTTAAACAGTATTTCTTGGTTTGCCACTTGAAAATCGTGTTTTACTTTTTGCATGAATTATTAAAGCAAAGGTCAAGGAGTAGTGACGTCACTGGACGGCATTAAACGGCTGGTCAATTCAGACGTTACTGAGGGAGTAATTACGACTCGAAGTAATTGGTTGAAATTCAGGCTAGAATGCACCTGGGACTCAGAATTTCCTTCTTTCTTAATTCCTTGGCTTGTAGAATTGTCAGTTAAGATATAAACAATAATAGCCAGCTAGATTTCATAAAATAATTTGCTGTCATTTCAAGTGCTAGTGCCATCAGCTCTTGAATCCAATCAATCTCACTGCAGGTATGTAACCTGTGTGTTACCTAACAGTACAAGCTGATTTGAAATAACTCCTCGTTTTGTTATCTCCCCAACCAATGGATCAGTTTCATAAGAACTGAGTGTATTCTACTGCTGTCTTTAGTCACACTGGACACCACTCATGATTGCTACATCAGCTGGAAGAGATGCAATTGTTTCTATGTTAATTTGTCATGGAGCTGATATAAACAGCTCAAATGAAGGTGGACAAACAGCACTACATTATGCAGCATCAAGAAACAGACATCAAGTATGAGAATCTTATATCTGGTACAATTTGTTTTAAGTGTTTAGTTAAGGATTTGAGGGAAATGGCTTTTTCTTTTTCTGACCTAGTAATCAATATTGGGCCAGTGTGCTGGTAATAATTATCATAGTAATAATTTATTGCCAAGCTCAGGGGGATGAGGTAACAGCTATGCAACAGCCACTGAGTCTGAGCATCACGTGGGAAGAGTGAATGTTGGTACTTGAATTATTACCAGAAAAGATTGACTGGAGCCACATTTTCATTTAATATATCTTCATAGTATGAAAGTAGGAGAAACGCTTTCATAGGTTCCCATCACAAATAGCTGATCAGGTCATGCTACAGAAATGGTGCTGATGTGTTATAGTCTGTGAGTAACACAAATATATTATATAACTTCTAACATGGTAGTTAAAGACACATTTTTTAATGTATATTTCCCATTCTTTCAAGATAAAAACTATTCATAATGATAACAGGATCATCAATAAATTTTTCTTCAATAATTTAGTATCAATTCATTCAAAAGCTCATTTTCACCTAATGCAATAAATAACAGCTAGATTAACTGGTTATTGTGGAAATAATGAGTTCTAATAAAATTGATGTTAGATTGCAGAAGAGCTTCTTCAAACTGGTGCACATGTTAATGTGCAGGACAGAACAATTGCTGGTACTCCTCTGCATCGTGCTGCATCAAGGTACAATAGACTTATGTCATGATGCTAGTTGAAGAAAGCCTTGGGCAACCTATCTGCATGTTGACCACCTTAGTTAAGGAAATGGGCATGGCGGAGTTTTTAAAAATGGGTGGATTGTAGAGGAATATTAATTAGCCACTGGAGTTCCATAAACTCTAGCACTTTTTTTTTTAAATAGGGCTGGCCAAATACAGTAGCAGAAAATCATCATGCTTTTCTCAAACCTTTTATGATAATATTTATTCAAATATTTCTGTAAATGTCTAGCTCACTGTTGGCTGGTTTTTGGTGCTAAAGGTAGTTGTTTTAGCTAATTTCTCAGAAATCTCGTAGAGAAATCCACTTTTTATATAATAACAAATTAATTTTATACAATGTGTCAATGAATCCCAGGTGTGAGAGACTCCCGTGTAAAAGTGACTGGGATGCTTGTTGTCTTGCTTTGGGGTGTAAATTGCAGATTTTGGTCTCATGTAGGGTGTTTGGGATGGAAAGTTACTATATTTGTCCATTTAGGTATTGCTTAGTCCTGTGCATAATGAGATTTACAAAAAATGCCCTGACCCTGACCACACAGAAATCTCCTTGGGGGGTCAGTTTAAGCTTGAGTCACACCCACGTTGGTCTCCCTGAGGTATTTAATTTGAATTTTCCGACGAGCATTCCCGTCACTTTTAATATGGGAGTCCCCCCGGCGATGAATAATGGTAATAGAACTGAATTTATTCCAGGGGAGGGGGGGTTAAAGCCATGAAATGATTAGGCAAAACCCAGACTTTATAAGAGTTCAACTTAGGGCTTCATATGACTGGCCAGATTCCAGAGTTTTGTTAAACACTGAAAAAAAAGTGGACAAAGGCCAAAAAAAAGCGAGTATTTGCAGGTTTGGTTAAAAAAATCGTTTATGGTAAGCCTTTGTCTCTGGTTTGTTTTGAAAGAGGTCATTCCAAGATAGTGAAGCTCCTATTGAAGCATGGTGCTCGTTGTGATATACAGGATGCAGAGGGCAACACAGCACTGTGAGTATAAACCCACTTATATTATTTAAGCATTACAATACAATGTAACTTTTAATACCCTGTGTTTACTTCTTTAGTGTTATCAGTCTAATTATCTACAATGCTTTTCTCTTCAGTCACATGGCTTGTCAAGAAGAAAGAGCTGAAATAGCTGTAATACTAGTAGAAAATGGAGCGAACCTACACATACAAAATAAGGTAGGTATCAAACAGATGTTTATCTCTATCTCACTGCCATATTTCAGGTCTTTACAGTAAGTTACAGAGCACGCCTTTACTTAGTGAACGGATTAAGAAGAGGATAGCGATGTCTTCAGTAATTAGGGAGTCAACGTGGTCAGGTGTAGACTAAGTAGTTCACTTGTTTCCTTGGGTTGCAAGAGGGGGACGACTGAATTTCAGGTCAAATTGTTGGTTGTGTGATCAGAGCGCCAGACGTCTGGGCTTAAGTCCCGCGATTTACTAGCTATAGAATTGTTTCCGGGTAGTGCCGAGTTCACTTGCTTGGTCAGGGGTGGAGCTAAGTGTCCATATCAGTACAAAGTTGTCAGGGGGTTCAAATAATTGGGATGTTGATTACGGGTGTTTTGGGGATTTTTGAAAACGCTGCTAAGAGGGCCACGGAGAAGTACCGAGGTGCTTTAGTTCGTCTTAATAATGTTGATGTCCTTGAAGAGTCTAACATTCGTATTGGCCCCCGCCAATCTGGTACCTTATGTACCGTTATCGCAAGTGAATAACTAAATCTTGAAATTTCAAGTTTTGGTTACTCACCTGTAATTACCTCACCGTGATAACTAACGACATATAACTCACGATCTTCTTAAACAGGCTTTATATTTGTCTTCTTTAGGAAAAAGTGACCCCCTTGGATCTCGCAAACAAGGGGCTTGCGAGACAGCTTATTCAAATGAGAGATGAGTATGACTGACTCCACATGTGAAAATCGTGGTAGGCAAGTCAGCGTCAATTTCCCTGCGGTTTTCCACCTCACTTACTGGAAGTAAAAAAATGTTAAGAAAAGAACATTCGTAATGACATTCATTATTTGAAGTTACCAGAATTAAGTATAGAAACATTGAGATTACCGATCTATTATTTACACCGTACCTACCATTCTAAGTTAATTGAAAGTACATTTTTGAATTTCTAATGCATTTGTGTGAAACCGCTAGATATAGTCGAACCTCCCATAAGCGACCACCCAAAATGCAAAGACTGAGTGGTCGCTTAGGGAAGGTGGTCTTTTACAAGAATCGAACCACAGGGCGCCTTTTCCCAGAAGAGGTTCAGGTACAGCTACTTTGTGGAAGTTATTGCATGCAATTTCTTAGTTACGACATGTGTAGTTCCATGTTGTCACTAAAGTTCTTCGTATATTCTTAGTAGCATAGTCCACACAACGAACATAGAGATCAGAGAATGCGTCAAGTGGTCGCTTACAAGAGGCTAAGAACAATGGAAAATCATTAACCGTCAGGTCCCAAAAAGTGGTCGCGGTCGCTTACATGAGGTGGTCGGTTACTAGACGTTGCAACTGTAAGGCTTTGACTGGGAAAATTTTGGTGCTTTGGATTGGCGGTCGTTGATGGGAGCTGGTCGCACATGGAGGTTCGACTGTATACTAATTTTCCTAAGCATAATGTACAACTTAAACAGATTTATTGCTTCCTAAAAGTTTAAATTGTACATAACCAATAACTGTGTAAAAATCAGTGGAAGTAAAAGTTGGCCGGATTTGAAAGCTGTTTCTCAATTTTGTTCAAAGCGTCCAGGCAACTTCTGAAACAAAGGAGGGATCAATACGAACTTGAATCTCGCGGAAAATCTAAGCGTACGAAAACTGCGTCGTTGAGGAACTGTCGTGGGCTTCTGAGCTCCCTCAGGCTAAGCTAAAAGCACCGGTTTATGTGAGCAACTTCTCTTACGGCGGGTTCGAGGCTGTCCCCGTGGGAAGTCCACTCTGAAAGCGGTAACTGTAGTGAGCCTCGCCAACTACAGGGTAAGTTCGCTTGAGGGGCCGAGTTACCTGCGGTAAATCAGATCCGGGCAAATGGGGCTCTTTCTCCTTGGCCGGAATCCCTTCTAGATACCCTTGGAGCAGAGGTTTCTTTCTGGCATGGTTATTAGCATTTACGAAGTCGTTCTCGTCGCTTGTCAGTCGCGTAGTTGACCTACTACGTGACAAGCGACGGAAACGACTTCATATTGCCCATGACACGCCATATGAAATGACAGCCATTTCTCAGCCCATACAGGATCGGTCATCACCCGGCGTAATAAGCACCGCACCTGCCGCTGCGCACCTGAGCGGAGTTGGGAAGTATGCGGCTCAGAAATAACATCTTTATTGGCACCTGGAACGTGAGAACCTTGCGAATGGCAGGAAAATTTGAAGAACTGGCATATGAGATGAGTAGGTACCACTAGAACATCTTATGACTGCGAGGTTGAAGAACTTTGGTGAAACGTCCACTTAGGAGAGTCATAAATAATACTTTAGAGGCAAGGAGGAGGACAAACACGAACAGAGCGTTGGATTTCTTGTTCACAAAAGCATTTTGACCGCTGTCATGAGCTACCGTCCAGTCTCAAGCAGGCCTATCATGATGCAGTTAAGGACTTCTAGGACCACCTGCCGGAAGTCTTGGATCAGTCCTCCCAAGTGACAAAGACATCCTTGTTGTGGTTTAGGCGATTGGACTGCCAAAGTATAAGAGGATGCTTTTAAGAACTGGAAAAAACGAAAGAGGTCTAAGGCCATAACCATATTGATTACATTATGGTTAGAAGGCGCTTTCAAACCAGTGTGAAAACAGCTAAGACCGAAGCTTCCCAGGGGCTGACATCGATTTAGTACTGATGACCTTGCAGCTCCGCAATATCCCGGGGAAGCTAGTGCAAGCAGGAAAAGATGCCGTAATAACAATAACAGAACAGGTCTTCAACCTCAGATACTGTGTGAGAGGTACCTCCAACATGAAAAAGTCTTCTATAACGTCTTTGGTGATTTTTAGATGACGTTTGATGGAGTCGAGTTGTGAAGTTCTACTATGAGGCTTTCCAACATTAACGCCACCTGATCCGAGTCGTAGGGAACTTCTACAACAAGTCCACCAGTGCAGTTTACCTGGAAAAATTGCTGGTTTTCCTCTACATCGCGCACAAGACAGCCTTGTGCAACTTATCTGCATTTATGTTTTTGACCACCTTATTTACAAAGGGAATGGACATGGCATTTTTAAAAATGGGTGGATTTGTGAAATTCTACTATGAGGCTTTACAACATTGCGGCCAACCTGATCCGAGTCATAGGGAACTTCTACAGGCCATGCCACCAGTGCAGTCTACCTCAATCGCAGCGTAAACGACGGTCGGAGTCAGACACAAAAGGCCGTCTGCTCTCACCGACTCTCTTTAACATGCTTCTGAAGAGAATTATGAATGACGCACTGGAAAATCACAAAGGAACAGTCAGCATCGGAGACAGAACAATCACAGAACAATTGCCGATGACATGGATGACTTGGGAGGAAACGAGGAGGAACTAGCTTCTCTGATGGATCGCCTAGACAAAGACCTCTACTGCCTTTGGCATGGAAGTAGCGCAGAGAAGACCAAACTGATGACTAACAGCACAGATGGCATCAGCGTTGACATCAGGGTCAGCGGAGAAAAACTGGACGAAGTTAACACTTTTAAGTACCTGGGCGCACTCGTCAGAGATCAAGATTCCAAGCCTGAAGCACTATCGAGAATGGCACTGACGACAGCGGCACCGTCGAAACTGAAGCGGACCTTCTGGAACGACAAGAATACCTCCCTGGAAATTGGCGGTTGATGTCCAGAAGAAATCGCAGGCTACGGAGATGAGATCCTTTAGGAATCTGCTTGGTATCTCATACAAAGAACACATCACCAAGGAGGTAGTTAGAGACAGAATCAGGCAGGCCATGGGGTCCTATGATGACACTTTACAGACTTTAACCGCGGTAAAGACACGTAAGTTCAAGTTGCCCTGACAACCTTGCAAGAACAGTGCAAGGGGGGTAAATAAGAGGAAGATAAAAGTAGTACAGGGAGAAGAACATCTCTGGTTGGACAGGGTTGAGGTTTTGCCACGCCCTAAGAGTCTTGAAACAACGTCAAATGGAGGACAACGGTTGCTAGGTTCGTTAACGTTCATCTGACTAGGGGATGTGTGCAAGTGAAGGTGCACGGTTAATGTGGTTTGTATTACTCATAGTCCTCCCTCTATTGTCGAAACCCGAAATTGACTCTGTAGACTTTCTAATAGTCCGTTTTAGTTGCGTTTTGTCGCTCAAAATAATAAGTAAGAAAAACTGCAAGTCTAGAAATTGCCATGATTCTAGTCTTCACGTCGAACAAAACATCTTCCCGGTGCTTTATTAGTGGTTGATATTTTTTGTGTATTTGATACTCTGGTCTTATTTACCTTGAATCTGAAAAAAATTCATGTTATCTGCACACACTAACTGTGAAAGGCTCGCGAATGTGGTTTACAACCTTTAGACAATTTTCCCCAGCTTTTTTTTGTTGGCAAAAGCTTTCAGCCTTCAAACCTCCCGCCGTATCAGTGGCTCTAAACTAATCTGTTACCTCCCGCGTCCCGCGTACCTCGCCGTTATTTATACTGGCATTTTTTTCGAGGTTGTAAACGTTATATTTATTTCGAATTGTACCGTTCTCACGTCAAACTTCAAGGGATTTTTTTGTTTTAAAGCTCCTACGCTTCGTTTTGTAATTGCTTTTGTTTTACAGACCCTTTACAGTGTGCTTAGTTACACTGGCCTCCAAATTTCCATATAATTATATCATCAAAAAGATTTATATTTCTTACGCACTATGAGCTGCTATTTTCCAAAAACTTCTAAAAAAACGTATGAAAGGCAGATTCAAAACTGATTAACGGACGGGTGTGATTAAGTGGTTACTTTGTGAACTTCGCGTCCAGAAACCTTTGGAGACTTAAAAACTGACCCTTTGGCGCTTTCAAAGTTTACGCATTACTTTACGGACAATAGATTTTTAAGACAATCAACAGAGTTATTTGATGGAACCTACTGCACATGGTTTACAAAATGTAAACAGAGACAAGAATCGTTTGTTATTGGATGGATGGTGTTTAGAGATGCAATGGGATAAATAGATCTTTGTGTTGGGTTTACCATTTTCTTTCTGTTTACGCTGGTATTATCGCTGATGTTGCCTTAACACTGAAAAGCCATGAAAAGCCGAAAGTCGGTTGTGGCACTTTGATGATAGGAGAAGTTTCATTCATTGTTGCACTCGTTTTTACGAAAGAAAATAGGTTACGACATGTATCTTACATACAGGATTCTTAAAATTGAAGGTCCTCTCTTCCTTTCTCATCTTAGTCACTATGGTTAATTCGCCTTAGGCAACAGAAAATTGTATCTTTAGTAACAAACTCTGGAACTTGTCCTCGAGGTATCTTATTGAAACCACTGAAAAGAGGAAAATAAACTGTTAGGACTGTTAACGACCTCTGCTGTCGCGGCGTTTTACTGCCAGATCGAATGTAGATTCTCCTAATCAACGCTGACATTACCCTATTAATATTCGACTACCACCTATTGAGGAGTGGAGTTATAACAAACCCCTGTGGTGACAAAGGTGAAATCTTTGGTAGCCAAGAAACAAGCTGCATTAGTGTATTGTGCCGGTGAATTTATGCAGCGGTTGGCGTATCACTCAGAACTGAACTAAGGCAAATTGCTGCCGGATCCCTTTTGTAACTTTCGTCGAGTATTAACTGGACACCTAAACCTTTGATCGTTGGTTATGGAGAGAATTTTCACGTACATTGCAGCCTTGTTTACACGTCTACTATTTTCATTGCATGCAATTGTGATGATTTACTGGTTGGTGACTTTAAAGCAAGACGAAACGTACTTTCTTTTCCTGCTTCTTCTTGTCGCTCTACTCGTGGAAACAATATTTACCGTTGGAGTACGCAAGGGACATGAATACAGCTGGTAAGTAGAACAATGCTCCGCCGGTATCAAACGATAAATAATACCATTTCTGGTGAAATATCAAGTTTCAGCGCGGTCCCCGCATGCCGTGTTAATATTTTAAACACGACAGGATATTTTGTCCTTATAATTCAAAAGATGTCCAGCATGTTATAACTAATAATTACGGCAAGAAAAAAACACAAGAAAATAACAGTTATTATAGCTAAAAAAAGATCAGGAAAGGTTCGAGACAAAACTTTTCATTATTTACTCTACATTGAAATTATTTCCTCCTCGTACAAGTGAGTCTGTACAATATGGGAAAGTTGATTGAATAGGGTTAAAAATACGAGCTCTTCTAGCTCAATTACCAGTAGCTGTTGGGCAAACGATCCAGGGTTCATTTAAGGTGACGTGCAAAATTTCTTTTACTTCTAACTCAAACATACTGCGTTCCGTTTGCTTTTCATTAAGAAGATCAAGGAGAACTTTTTGAATAAAACGAAGCATTGCAATATACTTATTGAGCCAGCAGGTAGAATGTCTAACCTGATTGCCTTTCTTAGATTGAGAAACCCCATGAAACATCGTTCTCCAAAGAAAAAAATATCCAGCGAAAAGGGTCGCAGGAAGTTTGCAGACAACTTGAAGTTTTTATTCGAACTTGTCTCGATCGCTTTCATCCATAAGAGTCTTATGTAAACATTTCCTGAATGCCACCTACTTTTTGTTTAAT